AAAAAAAAAAAAAAAAAAAAAAAAAGTGGGAAGAACAATCACACCACTGTTTAACTGATCGACTATGATGGAAACTGTGAAAGGCAGTCCACAGAGTGAAAGGAGGCTTCAGGAGGAGGCCCTGACTTGTCTTGGGGTTCCCCCAGGAATGGCATCTCGGCCAAAGGCTGACTCAGAAGGTAGATGGGCAGGAACAGGGTAATGTGGAGGCTGCCGGGAGCAGGCAACGGCCAGGAATTCTGACTTCATCCCAAGGCAATGGGAGGCCCTCTGTACTCTCTCTTATGATAACTGTTTCCATTCTTTCGGGCGGTTCTCCTGACCTCAGTCTAGCTGTGTGGGTGGGCCCCTACCTGGTTGAGTCAACCAGAGCCCATCCCTGGGATTTTAAACTTGGAAGCAGAAGAGTGATCATCACCTCTTGTCAGGGGTGAATCAATGAGAAGCGAGGCTCAGGAGCTTGAATCTCAAGTTCCCAGAAGCAGCTGGCTGAGGGTGAAGTCGCACACAGAGGTGAACAGGTCATCCTGGAAGGATGCCTACCCACGTCCAGCTGCCCCTGGAGCCCTTTCAGGACTGCTATTTTGAGTCTCTTCCTTCCTTAGCTGGTTTGAATTGGTCAAGTCACGTGCAACCTATCGAGTCCTGGCTAATGTACCATGAAAGGGTCCAAGACTTGGTCAGAGAAGAGCTGGGTTATAGGAGGTTGTGGAAGGGTACCCATTCCTCCCTTCTAGGTGGTAACTGAGAGAATAAACAGGAACAATTTACAGTTAAATGAAAATAAACATGGAAGCTTTAAGGATCTGTTAACAACAAGGAACAGACTCTACTATTCACTGACATAAAGTTTCAGAAAGGGCAAAATTAACCTCTGGTGATGGGCCGGAACAAAGGTGGCCTGGGGTGGGGTGTGGGCTGCTGTCTCCTGTCAGGTGTGGAATGACAAGTACACAGGCGTGTGCACCTACCGAAGCCTACTGCACTGCGCATCCGACTGCACTGATGTCCCTGGCTTCTCTCTTTGAAGCAACCTGGGTGACAGGCCATCCCGAACCAGGGCAGGCAGGATGGGCTGTCTCAATGGCCAGTCACCAAAGCCTGGAAGGTTGGAAGGGGGGAAAGGAGGAGACCCACAGTGGGTAAAGTTACAGGGGGCAGAGGTGGGGGCCACTGTTTGCTGGGGAGGGCCACTGGAGGGAGCTGGGGCAGAGTGGGAGGGAAGCTGGCCCCCCACATGAGTAGGGGTAGTTAGGAAGTATTTTATCCTCTGCAATGTTTGGGAGAATTTGGAGATGTATGTCCATTCTTTAGTGTTTGGTAGAATTCACCATCTGGTTCTGGGTTTTTCTTTGTTGGGAAACTTTTGATGGCTGGTTCTACCTACGTGTTTTAGGTTGGTGCAGATTTTTTCATTTTTCCTCTTTTTTTGAGATAGGGTCTCTGTTTCTGTCTCACTCCTGGCTAGAGTGCAGTGGTGCCGTCATAGGTCATTGCAGCTTTGAACTCCTGGGCTCTAGCTATCCTCCTCCTTCAGCCTTCCAAGTAGCTGGGGTTACAGGTACATGCCATGACACCCGGATAATTTTTAAAGTTTTTGTAGAGGCAGGGTCTCTTGCCCAGGCTGGTCTCGAACTCCTGGCCTCAGGCCATCCTCCTACCTAACTAGTTCTCCCCAGGTGCTGGAATCACAGGTGTGAGCCACTGTGCCTGGCCCTGTTTAGATTTTCTATTTTTCCTGGGACAGTTTTGGTCATTTGTATCTTTCTAGGAATTTGTTTTTGTTTTTTTCTTGCACTGTTGCCTGGGCTGGAGTGCAGTGGCGCAATCTTGGCTCACTGCAACCTCTACCTCCCAGGTTCAAGCAATTCTCCTGCCTCAGCCTCCTGAGTAGCTGGGATTACAGGTGTCTGCCACCCCGCTCGGCTGATTTTTTTGTATTTTTAGTAGAGATGGGGCTTCACTAGGTTGGCCAGGCTGGTCTTGAACTACTGACCTGGTGATCTACCCGCCTCGGCCTCCCAAAGTGCTGAGATTATAGGCATTAGCCACTGTGCCTTTTTTTTTTTTTTTTTTTGAGACAGAGTCTTGCTCTGTCACCCATGCTGGAGTGCAATTGCATCTTGGCTTACTGCAACCTCTGCCTCCTGGGTTCAAGTGATTTTCCTGCCTCAGCCTCCTGAGTAGCTGGGATTACGGGTGTGATCCACCACGCCTAATTTTTTTTTTTTTCTTTTCTTGAGACAGAGTCTTGCTCTGTCGCCCAGGCTGGAGAGCAGTGGCACGACCTCGGCTCACTGTTCAAGTGATCTCCTGCCTCAGTCTCCCAAGTAGCTGGGACTACAGGTGTGTGCCACCACACCCGGCTAATTTTTTGTATTTTTAGTAGAGATGGGGTTTCACCATGTTAGCCAGGATGGTCTTGATCTCCTGACCTCATTATCCACCTGCTTCAGCCTCCCAAAGTGCTAGATTACAGGTGTGAGCCACTGTGCCCGGCCAATTTTTTAAATAAAGGCGGGATTTAGATATGCTGGCCAGGCTGGTCTTGAAGTCCTGACCTCAGGTGATCTGCCTGATCAGCCTCCCAAAGTGTTGAGATTAGCGGTGTAAGCCACCACACCCAGCCAAGATCTCTCCTTTTTAAACGTTGGCATTTGCAGCTATAAATTTCCCTCAGAGCAGTTTTTCCTGCATTCCTTAAATTCTGGTACGTTGTGTTTTTGCTTTTGTCCATCTCTCAGTATTTTCTAATTTCCCTTGTGATTTCTTTGACCCTTTGGTTGTTAAAAAGTGTGTTTATTTTCTCGATACAAAAAGAAAAAAAAAGGTGTTTAATTTCTATGCATGTGTGCATTTTCATTTTCCTTCTGGTATGGATTTCCGGTTTTATTCCATTGTGATTGGAGAAGGTAGTTTGCAGAATTCCGATCTCTAATTTCCTGGGACTTGCTTTGTGCTCTAAGATGTAGTCAGTCCTGGAGGATGCTCCCTGTGTACTTAGGAACGTGTGTTCTGTTGCTGTTGGGTGGAGTGTTGTTAGGTCTGGTCAGCCTTTCGGTTTTTATGTAATACTTGGCACATACACAAGAATATTTGTGACACAGAAAGCACAATAAAGTGAAACCCACGAAGCCAGCACTGACCCTGAGGTTCAGAACCTCCAGCATCTCTGCTCTTCCCTGAGCTCAGCCCTGTCCCCTCCCCACGGGTGAGCACTGTGTTGTGCTGACTCCCCATCCTCCTTGATGACTTTAGCACCTGGGTATGAATCCCATACATATTTGGTTTTGAGCTTTATAAAAATGGCATCATACTGTATGAACTGTCTTGCTTTTTCATCCCACGGTGTTTCTGAGATGTGTTCGTGATGGGGGCCCCCTCAATCATTTCTCCAGCCTTCTGAGGATTGGTTTCTGGGTCGTTTTCGGCCTTTTGCTTGTCCCAGTCTCCTGGTTTCTCCACTCCACCCAGGAGCATCCGTGTTTGCAACAGGAGGGGAAGGTGGTACATTGGATGTCCAGCACACAGTCAGATGACACCCAGGAAAGGAGGGCCCGGTTCAGGCCATGGCCAGGTGGGACTCTGCCGGGCTGTCTCTGCACCCAGCACCAGGAATGTACACGCCACTGCTCCTTTTTGTTGTTTCCTCCACATCTGTTCCCTCTTCCAGAGGGCAGAAGAGCAGGAAACAGAGGCTTTGTCAGTGAACAAGGAAGCCCACCTGTGTGCTCCCAAATGTCAATGATCCAGGGGCACTGCTCACACCAGACACCTCCCTCTCCCCCCCCTGCAGCCTTGGGGCTCACACAGATGCCCTCCTCCAGTGCCTCGAGGGGCAGGCCTTGGCCACCAGCCTGATAATGCCCAGCACTGCCCTCCTCCCCTAGGTTCCTATGTTCCCTCAGCAGTTCTTGCCTCTCCTGCTGGTGACTGGGAAGGCCCTCGAGAATGGGGCCCAGGACAGGAGGAAAGGGTGACCCAGACCCCTACCAAACTGGACAGGCAGACAGTAGACAGGACACACCTCTGCAATCTCTGGGGAGTGACAAGCAGATAGAGGCCTCCCAGGGACAAGAGCTGAGCTGGAGGAGCCCCTGGCTGGGCTGGGGCCGCCAAACAGCTGGCTCAGTGCCCCAGGGCAAGCCCAGATAAGGTGACATAGTGGCAAATGTCTCCCCTGGGCAAGCCTGGGACACTTCACAAAATAGCTCTTTAGTTGAAGCCAACTTGGAAAATTCCAGGGAAAAGGAAATTTACTATGGGGCAGGAATAGCTAAGCCTTTTATTGGAACACCCAGGGCTCAACCTGGGGCCCTAAAAGCCAATGGGAGGTCAGCCTGGCCCCCAGAGCCAGCACAGGCTTTGCAGGTGCAAAGGCCCAAGCTTCAGGCAGGTCGCTGGCTTGAGACCACAGTCTCTCGGAACACGAAGGAGGGACTCAGCCAGGCCCACCAAGAGGGAGTCCTTTAATAGAGATCAGCACAGACAGGAGACACAACAGCCCAGGCACCCTGCTCACACAGGCACAGGCTCGGCCCTGAGCCAACAGATGCAGTGGCTCCCTCCTCCCCCACCTGGGTGTGGACCCATGGGGTTGGAGACAGAGAGGTGGCTTGAAAAAACACAGCTGTACTAATTCTTCACTTTCACGGAGAAGGGGAACTTGGGAGAACAGCCCGCTAGAGAATTTTTACACAGAGCTGAATCTGAGAGCCCACCCACCCACCTCGGCCAGGCTGAAGCTCGCTGTCCCCTACCCACCGGAGGTTCCTCCCTGATCTGTCTGCACACAAGAAGGAGCAGAGCACACAGGGAGACCGGGCTGTACAACAGGAACATGCTGGCTGGACAGCTGGCTCCCCTCTCCCAGCTGTTAGTGTTTCTACACTATGTACATTGTTGTGCTTTGTAGCTCCCCCACCCTGAGGCCTCTGCCTGAAGCCAGGGTGGGGAGGGGAACCCGACACCACACAAGGCTGGGCTGCCAGAGCTCCAGGCCCCCAAGAGGCTGCCATTCAGCCAGGTTCCAAGAGCTGGACTGCCAGGCACAGGGGCCATTGGAGCCAGAGGCCCAGGGGACAGAGCCAGCCCTGCCAGATGCCCAGCTCTGCCGAGTAGAGGAGTTGAAACAGAAGGATCAACACTGGACAAGAAGCAGGCTGGGTGGGGGCAGGCAGAGGTGGGAGGACAAGGTGCGAGGCAGTGAGACCAGGGGTGTGAGGTGTGTGTGTGGACAGGGCTGAGCAGGGCTGGGCAGGGGCACCTCAGCAAAAACCGTTCTGCAGCAGCAGGCTTGGTAGAGGGAGGTGGCAAGGGCTGCCGGCTTAGGAGCCCCTCCAACTGAGCACAGGGCTGCTTCCAATTCAGGGGCAGGGCTGGCGGCAGAAGGCTCTGGCTCCAGGTGTGTTTTGGGGGAGGTTTGGGGAAGACCACCGGGTGTCCCATGGGGCTGGGCATTAAGGGCAGGGCTGTGGTGACATCTGTGAGCGTGTCCCCCCTGGGCCTGGGGTAAACACAGGATCAGTTGTTCTCAAACAGGGACAGCAGGTCGTCATTGTTGTTCGTAGGGAGGTCGGGCGGGCCCAAGTAGGACAGTAGCTCATCGGGGTTGGTCAGTTCTGGGAGCAGCTGAGGACAAAGTGAACTATGTTAGCAGCTTTGGTCTCTGACTGGCCACACCTGAGTGATCATCCTGTCACCGCATCCTGGCCCTGTCCCCAGGTGCAGTGGGGGTACCAAGCAGGCCCTCCCCACACACAGGCCAGGTGCAGGGCCCCACCATAGGCCTGCAAGTGCTCAAAGGGGCACACGCCACCCCCTGGGGCCTCCCTGCAAGGCTGCTCTAGTACAGCTCGCAACACGCTGTTCAACACCACCAAAACACGGGATGCGAGGCAGTGCAGCCACTCCGTGCACTCTGTGCACCAGCCTGCGTGGGGATCGCCACCGTGATTCCCCAAGGTGAATGCTGGTGGTGGAATTCCAAGCCCCTAGGATTTTCTGCTTGGAGCTGTCCTTCCTAACTTTTCTCATGTTGAACTTCAATGAGTTTCTATTATGGTCCAGGGACAGTCTGTTCCGTCTTTCACGTACCGAGTCTGCACTCCCATTCCACCTGTGAGTCAAGACCCAGAACTACTGAGCAAATGGACAGATGAAACCTGATTCTAAGGACCACACATCAGCTTCCAGTGCAGTCTCCTCTGAGACTCTGTGTCCACCCGTACGGCATCCAGCCCCCTCATGAACACACGTGGTACATCACAGCCCACCCGCAGCTACTCCAGGTACCTAACTTGAGAACTAAAGTTGCATTTAGTTGACCTTATTTGACTGGCTGTCTGAGGGATCACTGTCTTCCCTTCCACAAAGCACATGGAACCCAGGGACAACAGACACACCACCTCTAGCCCTGGCTCCCATGTACTCCCTGGCACGGGGCCTGGTACTCACATCCAGAGCTGGTTCCGGGGCCTCCCCAGCTCCAGACATGCTGGGGGGCCCCATCACACCTGCAGCAGGACTGAAGGCCAGTTCGCCTGTGGGCCCTAAGCTCGCTTGGCCCAAAGGCTGCCGGGACACTGGGGGAGGGTTTGAATGGTGCAGCTGGGGACCTGGAGGGGCCCCAAGGTTGGAGGTGTGCAGTCCTGGTGTCCCAGGATTGTGAGTGGGGTCCAGGTGACCTGCTGGTGCCACCTGCGGACAGAGAGAATTTGTTAAAACAGCTCAGGGGCTCCCCTGGAGAGACAGGCCCCCTTGGCCTCTTGGCATGGCACTGACCTGGCCTGGGAGGCAGGCAGCAGACTTCTCTGGAGTCAGGAGACTGCTGGGAATGTCAGACTGGTAGGAGATGGGGGGTGGCCCCGGGGTGAACTCAGCAAGGGTTGGGGTGCTGGGCGTGGTGGGTGGGAAGGACTCAGGGAAAGTTCCAGGCCCCAGGAAGCTGGAACCTGCGAGAGGAGAGTTGGGCCCTGGGTGAGGGCTGGGGAAGGCTACTGCTGGCAGAGGGGCCAGGAGGTAAGCTGGCTGTGGCATAGGTGGGACTTGTAGTGCTCATCCACAAACAACAGCGGGTTTTGCAGAAGTCGCTATTTGGAAAAGGGCATTTCTTCTCATTGCTGCCAAGGGAATTGGCCTTGGGACATTCCTAGGAGTGAAGGTCTTGGAGGTTATAGGAATGGGGGCAGCCACAAATGCACCAAGCGTGTGAGGTGGGTCCCCGAGGGGGGCCCCAAATGGGGCCAGTCTGTGGAGGTGTTCTAGCCGAGAGCCCCTTACTCCATATAGGGGGAAGGAAGGGTAGAGGCCCCACTGTCTGTTTCCTAGGACCATAGCCGAGACTGTGCCTTCACTGCCACGTCCCTGAGATGGGAGGTGCCCCGTGGAATGTTTTTCATGGAAACATTGATAACCTAGGTATGTGGTCTGCATAGCCACATTCTTGCAGGTGAGGAGACTGATCTGGGGAGAGGGGCCATTTGCCTAGAGTCATCTGAGGTTCAAGGCTGCCCTGCTGTACTTACCCTGGCCAGGGTAGTCGCTGGGGGCAGGGACTGAGGGGGGCTGCAGGGGGGCAAAGGGGGCAGCGCCAGGGCCCAGGGCGGCGATCATCTCCATCACGCTGGGCATGAGCACGTGGGCAGGGCTCACGGTGCGGCAGCGCTTCAGGGCCGGCCCGTCCGGCTCCTCCTTGATGTGCATGTCAGGCTTTACGGGCACTGGCTTCCAGCTGCATGTGGGGTCGATGGTGATCTCCTCATAGTCAGAGCTAGGCAGGGAGATGTGGGGAATGGTTACCTCCTGCCCTGCTGCCTGCCCAGCACCCACTGCCCTTCCCAGCCCTAGGCTAAGTTTCCAGGCAGGCCCCCCACTCAAATGCTCGCTGCCACCTAGCACCTTCCACGCCCAGCAGGACGTTGGGCCCATCACCAACACTCAGGTAGGACACACACGCTATCCCTGGCCTGGAATCCAGCCTGCTCCATGCCAGAAAGAGGTTCAAAGGCTGCAATCAGCAAGGGACATCCGCCCCCACCACGTCCTGGGGCTGCCCTCCAGTGGCCACAGATGCGGGGGTCATGGGAAGAGGACACTTACTTCTGAATGCAGATGCGGGGGTCATGGGAAGAGGACACTTACTTCTGAATGTAAATCAGGATACCCAGCATGTACTGGTCCACCTCCAGGCCCTCTAGCAAAGCTGTCTTGCTGTGGGGAAAAAAAACGACGCAGCTCAGAGCCCTTGCACAACCTTGTCCTGGGCATGGGCCCTGTCGTTTCTCAGCCCTGTCAGCTGTGACCCTGCATGAAGCAATCCTGTGTGAGGCAACTGTACAAGGTGACCGTGTGAGCTGACCCTGTGTGAGGTAACAGTATAAGGTAACCCTGTGTGAGCTGACCCTTGTGTAAGGTGATAATATGAAGTGATCCTGTGCATGCAGTGATCCTGGGTGAAGTGACTTTGTACAAGGTGACTACATGAGATGACCCTGCATAAGGCCACCCTATATGAGCTCTCTGTGATGAGCTGCACAATCTTGGTCCATACGGTGACTTCTCCCACCAGGCTTGTGTCTTTGATGATGCTGTTGGAGGTTTCACCCATGAAAGCCTCTAAAAGCACCAGCCCCTCCCCCATCACATGCTGCATCTGAGACTCACTTGCACACAGGGCACCTCCAGGTCCCCCGCTCACAGTTGAGCTGCAGGTATGACTCCAGGTCAAAGCACTACAGAGAGATGAGGAGAAAGTCAGTTTCTCATTGTGGGCAGGACAGGGAAGACCTGGTCACTCTGCGATCCATTTTCAGGAATGTGTGATGTATTGACATGCATATCTGAGACACTTCATGTACCAGATTTTCAGTGCACCATCATGCCAATGGCTTGAGGTTGGGAACAGCCCAAACGGCTCTCACTGGGACTGGAATGCCATGTGGCCAAAGCAAGATTTGGGCAGCCGTGCTGACTGGGACCCGCTTCCAGAACATGGTGTGTCTGTTTTGTTTTTGTTTTGAGACAAAGTCTCACTCTGTTACACAGGTTGAAGTGCAGTGGTGTGATCTCAGCTCACTGCTCCTCTGCCTCCTGGGGTAAAGCAATTCTCCTACCTCAGCCTTCTGAATAGCTGGGACTACAGGTGCACACCACCATGCCTGGCTAATTTTTGCATTTTTAGTAGAGGTGGGGTTTCACCATGCTGGCCTGGAACTCTTGACCTCGTGATCCGCAAACCTCGGCTTCCCAAAGTGCTAGGATTACAGGCGTGAGCCACTGCGCCCAGCCTCAGAACATGGTGTTAAAAGAAGAAAAACTACAGCACAGAGCAGTTTGTGCAGTAGAAACCACTATGTAACCACAGAGACAGTGGGCTGTGTGTCTACTTGTCCATACCCAGAGTATTTTTGCAAAGACAGATACGCTAACAATGGTCACCTTTGGGGTAGGGCAGGAAGAAGACTGGACCCTGCAACGTTATGCCTTTCAAAACTTGAACACCATGGATGAAGCAGGCAGTAAAAAATTTAGTAAAATGGTACTTATATTTGGAAGAAAAAATAGTATACTTTCAGGGGGGGCCTAGCCCACCTGCCTCCTTGGCAGGGGAGTCCTGTCCTATCAGCCTGACAGCCAAGGCACTCGGAGTTCACGCCTGTCCAGAGGTTGAGACTGATGTATTGGCTCAAGATACTTTAGCAGCAGCAAATTCTGGCAAGGTTCTGCAGTAATCACCTACCTGTATGTGGCGACAGTCATGACCTCGGGCAGGCAGCTGGATCCTGCGGAAGGTGATGGGGCACTTCAGGGACACCTTGATAGCTGTCTGCTCCACCCCGTCCTCTCCGTTGGGCCCAGGGGTGCCAGGGATGGTGCCGCTGCTGAAGTTCCGCTTTACTGACATCAACAAAGTAAAGGACTTGAGCAAAGGGTCCCTAAGATGGGGAGGTGTGAATGGGGATGGCAACCCGGCAGAGACCCAGTCACTGACCCACTGACAGCTCTGAGGGGCCACTTGGAGCTAACCACTGCCCCTACTGCAGAGCCACCTGTCCAAGGAGATGGCCTTGTATGACATGGGGAGGTGCCTGCAAGGAGCAATGTTCGGCTTGGGAATGGGCCAGACAGAGGGAGCATGGCTGCTCGGCAGCTTTAGGGCCAGGGCCACTCACTCTTGGTGATGCAGTGCTCAGCAGGTAGGAGGCGCTTCTTGAGGAGGCCCTGCAGCACCGAGCGGACCGACGGGCGGTGCACTAGCTGCAGCACAAAGAGGTGGGACTGCAACACAACAGGAGGATGTCACTGGGGGGACTCCAGCCAGGGGCCACCTTGGTCAGGGAAAGGGTGGGCTGGCGTGTGTGTCTCAGGGTCTGCCAGGTGGGGGAAGGGATGAGGTTGAGGGCAGCGTGGACTGGGGGTAGTGGGTTAAGGTTAGCCTGCCACACTCCTCAGTTGGCCCCATCTGGCTGTCTTTCCTGGGGAGCCCCGGTGACCCTGGCCTCAGTGCCCCTGCCCACACTTGTATCTGTCTCTACAGCTGTGCTGAGCATCCTGCCTGCTGTCTAATATCACCCTGTCACCCCCTCTCCATCAGGAGAATCACCTCAAGTCCCCTTGAACGTTCCCCTGCTTGCACATCCACAGTCACAGACGCTGGGTCTATGCTGACATCTGCCACATCCCAGAGAATGTGATGTGTGGCCGCCCTGTCCCCAAGGCCCTCACACACAAGCTGATGAGTGCACTTATAAGCTGTGTCTTTCTTCTCTAGCCCAAGGGTGACCCTGATGCTGGCTAGAACCCGGTAATGCTTGATCAGCCGGGGACTCCGAGCTCCATGAGCTTTCTGCACAGCCTGGTTTCTCTTACATAATTAATGTGTGCATCATATCTAGTCAATTTATTCTAACTGGAAAACAGCTAGGGTGTATTACTGGATCCCTTTTCTTAAAGGGCAAGGATGACAGATTAAAATGGAAATACAAGGCAGTAACAAGGAGAAGCAACGCATTCTTCTGAGAAAATAAAGCCCCCACGGCCTGCTCTACACCCACAAAGGGGGCGTGCACGCTAAAGCAGGCAGCTGCAGGATCTGATGGTGCTGCAGCCCATCCCGCCCTGGTCCTGGCTTGCTCCCACTGCTTGGCCAGCCCAGGCCCCGCCCATACCCTGCCCCGCCCCACAGCTCCACCCCCAAGGCGCCGCAGGGGCACGCACGCAGCAGCAGGCGGTGACGGTGATCTGGATGGTGTTGCGGCCTGGCTGGCACACATGCTTCAGGTAGAGCGGCTTGTGCGAGGTCTTGTTGTCGCCGCGCTCAATGGTGAGTGGTGTGGCGTTGACGCTGACCTGCACCGAGGCTGGCCAGTTGGTGTTCATCTGCCGATCCTCGTGGTGGTAGCACTTGAACTGCAGCTCCAGGTCAGGCCTGCTCAGGAAGATGGGTGGACACCCAGAAAAGGGGCCCTGAAAGTGTAGGAGGAGGAACAGGGCCAGGTAGGGGTCAGATGGGGGCCAGGCGGAGCTCACCTCAGCATCAGGGTCTTGTAGACTGAGTCTCGCAGCTGGAAGACATGGTTGCTCACAGCTAGGTTGTGCTGCAGGCGGAAGGGCTCCAGGACCACCCCATCGCGCACAGGGAAGGTCAGCCGCAGCTCCTCACAAGGCCCGCTTCCTGGAAGGAGAGGCCACTAGCTGTGAGCTGGGCTGCCCCAGCGGGCGCGTCTTGTGCCACTCAAGGACAGTGGCTCCCTAGCCACATTCACTGCAGGGACCTTGGCGAAGGGAGTTCCTCCTGTCAGGCACTGTTTGGCAGGCCTGAGTGGTACCCTGGGGCTGGGGCCATGGGCAGTATCTCTCCTGAGGCCTGGACACTGCCTCCTGCCTCGGCAGCCTGGCCAGTGTCCCCTAAATCATAATATGGGAACATGTCCCCAACCCAGACAAAAGGCGTTTCCAGTGCTTTCAGAGAGACTGGGAGGCCAAGATGTGTGAGGGCCACCTGCAGTTGCCCTACAGCTTCATTTAGAGTTCTACGATCCCAGCTTTTGCTGCTGTGGTCTCCCTGGAATGGCCTTCGGGGGTTCAGAAATCCCCTGAAATAATATACAAAATTTTGTGCACAGGGGTGTTTATCTAGTGAGAAGACCCACAGCCTCCAATAGTTTGCAAAGAAAGCCACAAACAGAAAAAAAAGGTGAAGGCTTGGCACTAAGGGACTCATCTTTAAGATGGAATCCTTGGCTTTTTTTTAAGACAGGGTGTCGGTTTGTCACCCAGGTTGAAGTGCATTGGCAAGATCATATACTCACTATAACCTTGAACTCTTGTGCTCAGCCCCCCAAGGTGCTGGGATATACAACTGTGAGCCACCACACCCAGCCCTTTTCTTAGGGATATGGAAGCCACCTCCTGTCCCCCAAGCTCCTACAGGACTCTCTGTGTTTCCCTCATGCCCACCCTGGCCTTGTCACCCCTGTTGTCCCAAGAGTGCACAGACTCACCAGAGGGCGATGAATGCAAGGAGTTGAGGCTGGGCTTGAGATCAGGCAAGAAGGGAGACTTGACCTCTTGGCTTGGTGACATGTAAGGGACGCTGCTGCTTGGGGTCATGGGTGGTGTGGGGTTCCCTGGCAGTGGGGAACTGGGATAGCCCGGGATGGAACGGGCAGGCTGTAGGGTTGAGCACAAACAGTCAAGGCAGAATGCTAGGGGGATGGGGTAAAGTCTGTTCATGCACCGCCCACTGGGAACCATGAAAACAGAGGTGGGCAGGAGGCAGCCCCAGGGGTGCCTGCCCGATCACCCTCTCTCCTTTTGCCCACCCTGTGAGCCTCCCAGCCCATCCGCCTGGCCAGGCCCCCTACCCCACTCAGGCCGGGCTGGCTGTAGCCGACGCTGCCCCCGTTGAAGCTGGTGCCCTGCCCGTTGAACTGCTCTGTGGGCTGCGGGAGAGAAAACCGCATGCACCTGGGGCTCCAGCATGCCCCCAGCTGGGCCCCCTGGACCTGATTCTAGAATCCCACCATACACGGTCTTCTTTACACTTTCTTGTATTTTCCAAATAATCTACAAGCAACACTACTTAAAGCAATCATGGCCACAGAGGAAAGTGATCACACAGGTCAGAGGGGCTGAAAAGACAAAGGCACACTAAGCCCTCCCCATCTCCTCCCTCCAGCTGCACCACCCAGCGCACCCAGGCTTCCAAGGAGGTGCGCTCTGCCCATGCATCCAGAAAGGGTGCATGGCCAGCAGCAAGGGCCTGTCTTCTCACTGGATTTCTCTGCAGCGAGCAGAAGAAATGAGGACACTTTTCCATAAAGGACATTCAAATGTCTTGGGTACCTGCCTGCTGCTCCCTGCACTGGATACCCCTGAGACATACAAATCTTGCAGAGGGTACTTTTGGAACTAGATCCCAAACCCCTGGAGCTGCTCTTGCACTGGTCAGGATCCCCCAACCCCCACCCCCGTCTCCTATAGAGCTGTGGTACATTAGCACACATGGACCCACACACCCTGCTGCCCGCTTTAGCCACCCTGTCACTCTCGAGGACAGGACTGCCCCAAGATCCCCTGTGTCCCACAGCACTCAGCAAGGAGCCCGGCACAGGGCCTGGAGGAGCCTGCCCTACCTTGTAATGCAGTCCCGTGGGGCCGGGCACAGACAGGGACTGGCTCATGCCCTGCTGCAGGGGCAGCCTGTGCCCAGGGTAGGAGGGGGAGGGGGCAGGGGGCTGCCCGGGGCTGGGCGCAAACTGGGCGGTGCTGGTTGCGTACTGGCCTCCTTGCAGATACTGCTGCCCTGGATACACCTGAATAAGAGGCAAAATGCCCAAGGGGAGAAAAGAGGCATCAGGGGAGCTGGTTCCAGAAGGAAAGCAGAGTCTCATGTGTGGCAGGATTGGGGGAATGAAGATTTCTTGGTCCTCTTGAAGATTCTGCTGTAACACTGTCTGG